TGGACTGGTTTTAGTAAGTGGATTGATTGAGAATGCATTTTTAACGAACTCCTTGATAGATATGTATTGCAAATGTGCATGTGTTGAACAGGCAAGGTATTTGTTTGAGAATTCCAAGGAGATAGATGAGATTTCATGGAATACATTGATTTCAGGCTATGTTCGTATGAATCAAAATGAAGAGATGTTGAAACTATTAATTAGCATGCATCGAAATGGATTGAACTTGAATACTTATACCATGGGAAGTGTCTTAAAGGCTTGTTGTACAAGCACGGATGTAGGGATAAAATATGGGAAAATGCTTCATGGATGTATAATGAAACTTGGGTTTCAAATGGACATTGTTGTTGGGACATCATTGCTTGATATGTATGTGAAAAGGGAAGAACTGCACAGTGCAATCAAAATTTTACAAGCATGCCAAACCGCAATATTGTCATGTATGATTCCATGACATCTGGATTTATAGAAGCAGAAAGCATTACCAAGGAATGTGCTAACCATATCAGCAGATTTTTCCTTGAAGTGTGGTGACATAGATGCTACTAATCTGACATTTCAAGAGAGAGAATCTAGATGTGGTTTCTTGGTCAGTGATGATTTGTAGCTGCGCACAACATGGATGTGCTACAGATGCTTTAAACCTCTTTGGGTTGATGAAGGAACGTGAGATTACGCCTAATCATATTACATTTGTAGGAATTTTATCCGCTTGCAGTTATGGAGGACTTGTCGAAGAAGGATTAAGGTATGTCAGTGGAACCCTCCCTTCTATCATTTTTAAGTGCACTTGTGTTTATGATGTGCATGCATGAGGATGTGAGGGGTTAGAGACACAAGTTGCATCCATAAATTTCAAAACTGAATCAATCTACATACTGCCCGAATTTTTACAGTGGGAAATTGTCAGTAGCTGGAACTTAATGATGAACTAACTCTAGTAAGCCGGGGACATAATTTAGCTTTATATAGAATAGCACTTTGTTTTAGGCAGAGGATAGAATACTTGTAACTATATGCACTGATTATGAAGCACAACGTCCTCTTTTCTCTTGTGTTATTGAACTGCTTTATTTCTCCCATGAACATTCTGTTTTTCTATGCTGATCTCCTTAGAAGCTTCTGTGCAAGCAGATTTTATTTCTTTGCTTTTATTCATGATAATTATGTGGTTAACCTTTTGAGTTACTGCAGATACTTTGAAAGCATGAAGGATTATGACGTTGAAACCAGCATAGAACATTATTGCTGTGTTGCTGACCTCTTTGGACGTGCTGGAAGGTTAGCAGAGGCTCAAAACTTCATCCTCACCTCGGTTTTCAAGAATAATCCAATAATGTGGCGAGCCTTGTTGAGTTCTTGCAGGGTTTATAAGGACACTGTAACTGGGAAACGTGCTGCCGTGAAAGTAATTGGGCTTCAACCCCAAGGGTCTGCATCTTATGTTCTTCTTCACAACATCTATGCTGCTGCTGCTGTAGAAACACTGGCAGTCGGAGAACTGATGCAACAGCGAGGGGTTAAGAAAAAGGAGCCTGGTCTTAGTTGGATTTAGGTTAGAAACATAGTTCATTTCTTTTCTGTGGTTGACATGTCTTACCTTTTGAGTCAAGTAATCTATTGAGGTTGGGAGAAATTTTGGAAAAGACAAGGAATTTGGTTATGTTAATGAGAGGACTGCTTCTAGTTCAACCAAAACAAAACCCAAAGGGAGCTCAGCGACGAACTATCACAGTTTGAGTTAGCAATCACCTTTGGGTTTTCATTTACTAGCTTATTGAAGTTGGTCTCCTGTTAGGTTGATGAAATATTTGAGAACCTGCCCTGACTGCCACAGAATAACTGAAGCTCTTGTCAGAGGTGGAAATGTCGGAAATAATTCCCAGAGATCCATTTTCATCTATGTCATTCCCAAGTAGATTAATAGAAGTTGCGAAAGGTAGGTTGTTGGATGGCTGCTAGAAACAGTTTAACATTTGTAATGAATCTGGAACAGGATTGATGCACTGAACCGGACAAGCAGTTAGTGGGAATGAAACATGCAATTTAAAAATGACCATTTGAAACAAGAGAGGCAGAATAGAAATAACTGCTTGGACAGAGAACCTACATCACTTGGGTGAGTGTAGGATACGAATATACATCTGACACGGCTATATTTGATTATATCCTAGTCTTTTCATGTACTTAGAGGATCTTTGAAAGGCAATATTTTCCTAGATCTACCCGTCTAGATATTTGATTTATGTTTTTCTTATGTGCTAAGATGCATGAGCTCCAAATTTTAACTTACATAAATTCATTCTTCGTGGTTGCAGATGATATTTTATCCAAATCTCCTGGAGGTTTGTCCGATGAAGCACTACTCTTGTCAGGAGCTATAATGCATCTCCCCTCGACACAAGGTATCTTTACCCACCTCACTCTACAACATTTGGATACATAGATCATGAAAAATATTTCAGCATGGTGAAATTAGAAGTGTCTTTTTTTCTCCTTCCAATTTCACACATCTTTTGAAGCGTATCCAAATGTATTTATGTGCCTCGTTGGGGTAACACATTTCTATGGAAATTTTTGGTGTTCTATTTTTATTGGTTTAACCAAAATTACAGGAAGGTTTCTTGAATGAATTCCATCTATCCATGTAACAAAATACAAACACAGAATACTCGAACATGCGACACCAACAAGTTGGATTGAAGATTAAAATTTACGGTACACTGAAAGAGGTGTTGCAACACCAAACTTTCCTAGACTAAATCTTTACACAGGATCAAGTAATTATGCTAAACGCATGAGTGAAAGTATCGATATAGCATCTATCTCATCAGCAGGTTTCGGTTAGGCGTTGGCCAAGGTAAACAAGATGCCAGATGAGAGCCATTAGTGTGAGAATATTAAGCACTGATGAGTTTGTGTTTAGCTTCTTCAACCTCTCATTTAGCCTAACCATTCTTGACTTCATCACTTCCTCTTCCGAACCGATGGGTGCTGCTGCCGGTGCCAGTAAGGGGCCTTTCCTGCTTATTTTAGCTGCTGGATCTGCAACATTTGGTGTCTCAATGGTCTTGCTCCCCTCTGCAACAAAGTCAGGTCTTCCTCTCCCTTCTCCATTTTAATCCTCAAACATCACCTGCAATGGAAATCCAATATGTTAAAAGTATCAAAAATTGAATATGCAAACAGGAGCATAAGAAATTAAGCAAGTTACCTTAGTAGCTTTAGGCTCCAAATACAGCGCATTAACCAAAACCATGAAAAGGGATGGCAAAAGATTAAAAGATTGAAACATCTCTGGCCAGCTTGAGATCGATTTGTTCCTGTGCCACAAAAAGTGCCCCAACAAAGCTAACCCAATACTGTAAGCCATTGCCCTGAAGTAAACAGGGTATATCTTGCTCTGCACCGCTCCGAACTGCTGTCTCGGGAGATGTTCTGCCAATACATAGCTGAAAATGAACGTAACCCACACACTCATCCCTTATGCTGTAGCTAATCCAAGTAAGTTAGCCAAACCCATCGCTGTATTCAACGCCTCCATTGAAGTGATGTACTTGAAGCCGTCAAACTACTTCTTTGCACCAGTTTTAACCTTGTTCGTTGCTCGTTGTGCTTCCTCCTTGGCCTTTTCTTGAACGTTCTCCACCCTCTCTGCTCAATTTTTCACTATATCATCTCCCATCGTCTTGGCCTTTTCCTTTTCTTCTTTCACAGTATCCTTAGCCTTATCGATGGACTCCTTCGCTCTTTCTTTAACATCTTGGCCCGTTTGCACAACCGCCTCTTTTGCTTCGCCTATAGCATCGCCGACAGCCCCCTTTATTGGATGTGCAGTCTCCGAAACCATGTCTTTAACCTTGTATATTAGGCTATCGCGACATTTTTTACATAAACGCCACTAAAATATGCGTTTGTAGCGGCGTTTTCTAAAAAATGCCAACATATATCGGGTTATTGCAGTCTTTTTTCATAAACACCACTAAAGTACACATTTATAGTACGTTTTCCAAAAAATACCACTATATATCAGGATATCGTGGCGTTCTTTTACATAAATGCCACTAAAGTACACGTTTGTAGCGACGTTTTCCCAAAAAAATACCGCTATATATCGGGCTATCTTGGCGTTTGTCTAAAAACACCGCCATATGTAAAAAAATTAACGGCATTTTCTCTAAAAACGCCACTACAAATATGTTTTGTTGTAGTGTCATCTAATTGGGCATTAATTTTATTAAATTAAATTAAAATTATGATCAAATTAATAGAATACATAAATATTGAGGATTGAATGTATAATTATACCACTTTTATTAATAGTCACGTCAACAGTTCCGTTAAATGTTAATAACAAGTGGTCTGATTGAAGGTATTTAAATATTTGGATGGCCTGATTGACAATAATTCAAAAATGATGATCAAAATGAAAAAGAGTTATAGTTAGATGCTCACTGGTATAGTTTACTCTAAATTTAAATATGTAAACGTTTTTCAATCAACTAAATTATTATCATCAAATCTATAATATACAAACAATAAATATCATTTCTAAATTACAATAAATATTAAATTTCACCCAGAAGAATTCTTCTCTCTTCCTCTTGTAAAAATAAAATCATCTAGATCAGAAACACGACCAACTGCTCAAACTTTAGAGAGGAATTTGTCAAGTAACCCCATTATTACAAGAAATTTCTTAGAACTCTCCCAAGTCGCATCGGGGGTGGCATTCACGCGGCGTTGTCATATTCCTGGTAAGTGCTACGAAAATAATAAAGATGGGGCAGAAAATAGATTCAATCCTTTTTTTTTTCGAAGTCAGTTTAGAAACGACATTGACCCATCATTACTTTATTCTTATTACTATTGTTGAACAGATTTAAATAGCTACTTCAAGTCAATTCTTATTGCTGTTATAACAGTGACCATGATAATATTTATTATAAATTCACTCACTAGTGTGCGTACTATAAATATAGATTTAAGCTCGGTTGAACAACGAGAAGAGTAAGTAGAGGAGTAAAAAAATGGAAGGAAAGTGTTGGTGCTTGATTTTGATGGCGTCGGTGTTATGCATAAGCATGTTGAACGGCGGTGGCGTGACGGCACAAAGCGCGGCGGAGTGCAAAGAAGAGAGGAGAATACTTGTGAACGCATGCAAGGGCCTGATAACACGAAAGCCTCCCACACCATATTGTTGTGAGAGGCTGAGAGTTACGCATGTTAACTGTGTTTGTCCTGTAATAACGCCTCAGCTAGCAGCTTTGATCGATGTCAACTATGCTATCAAGGTTATTCAGGGCTGTGGAAGACAAGTCCCCCGCCATTTCAAATGCGGAAGTAAGTTTCAAATATCTTACTGTTATGGACAGGGATGGATCGACAAGATGATCATTCCGAAAATTTCAAATTCTAATATAATTTAGATATTTTTTTGATTTTATATTAATAATTTATTTATCTAAAATTTTATAAACTCGCATTGATATAAGGTTTTACAATCATCCCTTAGTTACTGTAATTACATGAGCTGAATAGTGATATTTTTATTGTGCATGCAGGTATAACCACACCATGAGAAGATTATGCTATGGAATAGTCCATAATTCATTTCCATTTATGGTATGATTATGGGAACTTTGTTGTCTGTTTTTTGTGCATTTCGTCGTCCTCATACGGATATTTTTTTTTCTTGTTTCTGTTTAAATAAGTTTTTTGGGGGTACTCATAAGCTATGGTTGATGTATTCAGTAGGTAAAGATTTAATTAGTGTTATACATCTTATAATATATTGAATAAAATCATGATGGTTGAATCGTTTCATTTTAGTAATTCTTTATCTTTTCAAGTTTTCGTGTTTGATTGTATTAGTCGTTGTGCGAAGAAAAATATAACCTCGGTCAATAGGATTTAGTTTAGCATCAAGATTAATTTATAATAAGGCTTAACACAATTTTTAGTACCTAAACTATATCTCAAAATATTGCGTAAAGAATGTTTTTGCTAACAATAGGTGCTTAACGTTTTTAACGTTACATTTTTAAGTATATGGACTGTAACTGCCGCTAAATTTGATCGTAATTTGACACGTGTCATGCATATAAAATTCCAAAAATTATTTTATTAAAAAAACTTAATATTATAATTTTTAAAAAAACTTTTAAATTTACATCTTCTATTATCGATCAATCACCATCGATCTGTAACTGTCACCGATGACACCATCAAAATCATCCCACTGTCGCGACCAAAACCCAGTCCCCCACCCACCATGAAACTGCGTCGATCATCATGAAAAACGCCTTTCTAGGTTTTTCATTGTTGTTTTTCGACAATTTCGATTGCTACAGTCATCCGTACATACACGACCGACACCGTTGAAATCCTCATCATACTTCGAACAAAACACAATCGGTGGTGACCCTTCACCATCGGTGGTAGGGGATAAGAGGGAGAGGGATGACGTGGGAGTTTGATTTTTTTCTTTTTCTTTTTAAAAATAATATTGTTATTATTAAAAAACTAAAAAAATATAACGGTATACACCTAAAAGTGTAATGGAACAAACTGTAGGTACCTAAAAGTGTAACTGAGAAAACGTTAGACACCTATTGTAAGCAAAAAAAATTCTTGGCACCAAATCGTATTTCAAGGTATAATTTAGGCACTAAAAAGTGTATTAAGCCTTATAATAATTAATCTATTCATATGTATATTAAATTTTGACAAATCTTAATTTTAATTTTAATCTTACCTAGAGGAAAACAGACTCTAGGGGAAGGAAGAATAGTGCTTTTAGTGGGTCTAGAATGCATGACCTGAGGAAATGTGAGGAAATAAGGATGAGCAATTTAGTCACCCAACCAAATGTGCTTGTTCTTCGGGGTATATTAATTAGAATTATATGTATAACTCTCAAATATATTGATCACTTATATATTGAGGGTGTTTGGCAAACAACCGATACCTGATAGTTGGTAGCTGATTCCAGTAGTTGGTTTGACCAACTAATTTGATTAACTAATTTGAGAAACTGATTTGATTAGCTAATTTGAGAAACTGATTTGATTAGTTGTTTGTATAGAAGTGTTTGGTAAAATTTAGTTGGTAGCTGATATGAGTAAAATGACAAATAAGGTATGATATATTTAGTCGTTAAGTATATATATGTTTTTATAATACTTTAGTCTTTATTGGGGGAAATTATTCGGATAAAATGCTTTTGACAAGGAATTAAAGATTCCTTAAGAAAATCAGTGAATATTTTTAAAAATTTTGAATATATTTTTTAAATTTAATATTTACAAATATTAACCTTGTGAGATTAATACATACTATTAACCTTGTATAAAATATCAACACTACATTTTTTTTACTTTCATGATTTACTATATTTTCTTAACTAAAATATATTTGAGAATCTACAACTAAAAAATAGAATTATAAAATAAAATTTCACTAAAATATATTAGGATGAAGGCTATTTCATTAGATTAGGTTTTATGGCAAGGATGTAATTATGAAAATAATAAGGACAAATATGTCATTTAACATCTTATTTTGCAATTAGTTCTCCCAAACTGTTGGATTTTCCTGCGTTTTCATTTTTAGTTTATTTTGCACAATAAACTCTTTCAAAAAGGTGTTTACCAAACACTAAAAATGGAGGATTTGACTACCGATCAATTATTTAAGCTCAAATAAACTAAAAACTCTTCAAAAAGTTGTTTACCAAACACCCTCATTGATTTACCGATGTATTTATTTGATTTATATCATAATAAAATTATAAATAAATTAAATTTAATAGATAAAGATAAATTTGACATCCAAAAATTATTTATCTTTCAACTAACAATTATAACACACACACACACACACACATATATATATATATATATATATATATATATATACAATTATTAATATCCAATTCGTTGGTTACATCATTTTGCAAACCCAATTCATGAATTTTGAAATTGAATATAATTTTTTCTACTTTTAAACTTGGAAATGATCCAAAATGACCTCAAAGACCCTTCAAAAACATTGTGTAGACACCCGTTTTGTCCGGGATACTATCATTATTATTATTATTATATTATTTTATTATTAATAATAATGTTAAAGTTGTTTATGTTATCATTTTGCAGGCCAAGGTACGCCAAGCACAATTCAGGTCCCAAATTACAAACAGTGCACGACAGCCATGGAGATTGCCAATTTTGAACATGTTCTAAGCATCTTCGGTTTCTGAAGTCTTCGTAAAAGTTATTCAATTATCTCTTAGCTTTCCAACTTACTTTGAACCGCATCAATCCGATATTTGGAGCTCGAGATATGGTTAAATTAATGAAGACAGTGCAGGCTGGAAATTGTCCAGTGGGCAGATCACGACATTCAGATGTATCGCCAATTTTGAACATGTTCCAAACATATTTGGATGTTGAAGTCTTCTTAACAATTATTCCATTATCTCTTAGCTTTCCAACGCACTTTGAATCGCATCAATCCGATATCGGTAGCTCGAGATACGCTCAGATAGATAAAGACTGTGCAAGCTGAATACGGGATTTACGAATTTCAACAAAAAATTGTTTTTACTTTGCACAATATACACGTTGGGAACAGATTTTTTATGAACATGGAGACATACACGTTGGAAAAACATGTTCCAGCTAGGAGACAAGCACTCACCAGCACATGTGGCCGCACAGTACCTCACGCCAGCCCACACCATGTTGTTTCTGCACTAGCAGTCTATTAATGGAGCACTAACTCTATTATACTGCCACCACTAATATTTGCTGGCCACCACTAATATTTGCTGGCCACCCATGTTTTGTTAAGTGTCCATATTCTGCACAAAGTCAATAATGCACCGAATCAAGGAAAAATTAATTAGTCACCAAAAAATTGCATAAAAGTCAATACTTGCTCAACTAAATATCACCAAACACAGAGAAAATCAACATGCAGACAAAGTATTCGGTAAAGAAAATATTGATAAAATGGAGAGGAGCTCGGTTTTTCAAAAAAAAAAAAGAAAAGAAAGAAGATTGAAAACACTGGAGGAGACCATAGACATACTGGGAGGCCAAAACGTGTGAGAGGGGAGAAAAGAAAAAAAAATAGAAAACAACACTTCTTGTAATCTGTCGGATTCTCGCCGGAGATCGGGATCTCCGATCAACATTCCGAACGGTCAAAAGTTGCGGAAGGCCATCACGAACAACATATTGAAAATTCAAGACGATCGGACAGTGGACGGTGACGGATCGGAGAAAACATATCCGGACGGTTTTTAGCCTCTTGCTGGTGATCGGAATCTTCGATCAATATTCCGAACGGTGAAAAGTTGTGTGATGCCAACACGAACAACCTATTGAAAAATCAGGACGATCGGACGGTGGATGACGGCAGATCAAAGAAAATACATTCGAACGGTTATCTTTGTATCTTTCCTGATTTTGACACTTTAATTTCTGTTATTTTATTTTAACCTTTTATTTTCTGTTTTTACCATTTTAATCCTTAAGGTTCATGTTTTGCGCTTGGGTCATTCTCCATATGAGTCATTTTCATTTGCAGCTTAATACATTTTAGTCCTTAAATAGGTGTTTTTTGTGTTTCTGATTTCGTCTCCATATTTTACGCGTATTCAATTTTAGTCCTGAGTGGTATTGTATTTTGCTTCTGTTCTTTATACATTGAACTGTTAATTTTCACATGTTTCATTTTAGTACCTAGGTCGAAGTTTGCAGGTTTCTAATTCTGTCTATTTATTTTATGGTTCATTTAATTTTCGTCCTAGTGTTGATTTGTTTATTTTCTGTTGTTTAGATATTTGACCTTCATATTTTTGCATGTTGCACTTTAGTCATGAGTGTGTTGGGATTTATTCTGTTTTTAGTCCCCTGCAATAGGAATAGTTTCATTTCAGTTCTTAGTATTTAATATGGTATAATACTAGCATTTCTACCTTAATTCGTATTTTATTTATAATTAGGTTATTAAAGTTTTATTTGATATCATTTAGTCCTCGTTTTAATAAATATATTTATTTTCTGAAATTTATAATTTGTTGTATTATGTTTTCGTTTGTTTTGTTTAGGTCATATTTGTTCATTAAATATAACTATGTATATAGTATATATTTTTAGTTATAAAATGTGTATATAATTTCTATGGAAATGTCACATTGCATGATATTTTAAAATATTGGTTTAATTAATTTTTACATGACATCATTTTAGTATGATTTGCATGTTAGCCTCACGTGCATAAACTCAATGTATTTACATAATTTAATTAAAGGTAATATCTTTTTAATTTAAAATTATTTTAAGTGGGTTGTCTTAACTGATTAGATATCCGCTTTTGATGATTTTAAATTAAAAGTATATCCTATCAGTGACACCTAAGAAATTAATTTATCGCTTTTAAAATTTGGGAACAGAAGAAAAAGAAATATTCGGCTATTTAAATTTATCGAGAAAAGATAGTTAGAACTTATCTAAGATCTGGTCTCGATACTTGTAAATAATCGAATATTCTTTATCTTTCTAAAGGTCTGGTAATTTTAATTTAATCTATTTTGGTGTTTTTGAATGTCGTAAAATTCATTGTTGTTTTGTCGGGGATCATAAACCAAATTAAATTCGAATTTGTAAATTTCATTGCAAAGACATTAATTAATTGATGAGGTACCGATTTAGGGCGTTGTGGGGGTGCTAATCCTTCCCCACGCGTAACCGACTCCCGAA